CAGTTCTGCTTCAAATTACCCTTCCTTTCGACTTGCATGTTTACAGGTTTGCAGCTGTTGTGTCTTACCCAGTATATTCAATGTGGTCTACTGCTTTGTTCCTTTTCTTGTGACTTTTAGCAGCTGCTGTGATTCTGTACAGTTATACAACACTCAATCTCTGCTGTGATTCTATACAGCTATACAACACTCAATCTCAGCTCCACTCTGACACCATGTTATAGTCTCATTTATACTGTGTCTTTATTGAACTTGCTGTAAGATGGATACTTGTAGTGCGTGTATCATATGAATGAACATACAAATTAAAAACTGAAGTAGGCATGCACTGCCATTCAGTAAGATAATGGCTGATCTGTTTGTGTTCCATAGTCTACGTTTCCATCTACCTCCAATAACATTTGACTCCCTTGTGTAAGTAGAATGTACTGACATCCACCCTACAACCATTTAATGACATTGAAACTCTTCACCTCAACAGGTAGTGGAGGCAGAGTCATACAGTTCTCTGAAAAGAAGTCCTCTCATCTTTGTCCTAAAAGGGCAACTTCTGATTTTAAAACTGTGCCCCTAGGTCAGGACTCACCAACCAGAGTAAACATTTTTTTCACATCCCTTGGCAAGACCATTCAGCATCTCATAACTTCAATCAAGTCACCACTTGTTCTTCCAAATTTCAATGAAAACATGTCCAGTCTATCCAATCTTTCTCCATATGACAATCTGCTAATTCAAAATATCAATCTAGTAAATCACCTCCAATACATTTACACCCTTAAGTAAGAAAACCAGAACTGCATTTAATTTTTAAGATATGGTTTCAACATGCCCTATATAACACCTTTATGTTCAATTCTGATCATAATAAAGAACATCATTCCATTTACCTTAATCACTTGCTGTAACTGCATAGCAAATTTTTGTGACTTACACCAGAAATCCAGATCGTTCTATACTTTGTAATTCTGCGGTCATTCTAAATTTAAATGATACTCTACACCTTTATTTTTCCTGCCAAAGGGATTAACTTCATATTTCTCCATATTCCATCTGCCAGATTATTGCCCACTTATCTATATTAGTTCTCATCCTTGTTTTATCATCTTCACAATATACTTTCCCAGTTATCTTAGTGCCATCCAATAATTTAGCCACCATGTTTCTGATCTCTTTACCAAAGCCATTTTGATATGAAAATTGAATGACCAGCACAGACCCTTGTGGGACCCTACTCATTACATCCTACTATCCGAAAAAGACACATCTATGCAAAGTCTTTGTTCTCTATGTTTCTTCTTAAGAGAATTCTAATAAATTTATTAAAGAGAATTTCCCTTTCACAAAAACCATGCTGATATTTCCCGAATCTAAATTTATTCCCTTGACGTTCAATGGTATTGTCATCACTAAAATCTCCACCATCAACATCCCGAGTTTACTATTTAACTGGAGCAGACTTTTAAATATTGTAACTCCAATAGCAGGTCAAAGGCTGTGAGTAACTCACCTCCTTACTCTCAAAGGCTGCCCAACCAGGCAAATATCAGAGGTGTGATGGGGTACATCTCAGTCACCTGAATCAGTGCATCTCCAGCAACTCTCAAGCTTGGCACCATCTGCTGGCTGCTTGTTCACTGCCTCAACTAACACCTTTAATATTGACTTCATCTACTATTGATGCACAGTTTACAATACTAAGCAAACTCAGAACCTGTACCACAGGGTTGGCTAAATTGTGGCTCGCAATTTCCAGTGGGGTTGTAGGATGAGTAATTGTCATTGTGAACTCCACCTCCTTCAAGGCAACAATGATCACTGTGGAGACACAGTAGGGTCCAACTGGAACTGTTGCAATGGATCACTTTGATAGAATTATAAATCTCGATCTGTTCCGTAGTCTGGCTAGTTATTGTGAGATTTGTCAGAGTTTGCTTCCATTTTGCAGACTTCAGTTTGATCCAGTGATATTCACTATATGGTTCCTGGGCCACATGTCTTTCCTGTGGCCTGCTGCTAACTATTTTCCACTTGCCAATTCCGTCCCTCACTCCTTTGTTTACTTCGTCTGTCACTCAGTCCTTTCCTTTCATCTCGCACTTCCCCTTTCCTGACCTTTCACTCATAGGAAGGGTTCAGGAGAGGGAAGCAGTGAGTTGGGAGGGAATGGCAGTGAGTGGGAGGCAGATGGTGAGTGACAGAATCAGGGAGAGAAGCAGTAAGCGGGAGGGTCAGAGGGAAAAGTGCAGGGCTGGGGAGTGAAGCTTTTTTTTTGGTTGCTGGTGTTCAATGCGAGCCAGGTTTACAGCCTTCAAAATAGCATTGCAAACCCTCACCCATGCTCACAATTCTTTCCTGCTCTTAGAACACCACCAACCCCAAACAGCTCTCAAAACCTCCAAGTCCCATTCTCATTCTGAGCTGACAATTTAAAAGTTTTAAAATGGAGTCACAGTAGGAAAAAAAATTATGAAGAACTGCTCTAATTCTTGTTAGGATCACTAACTCCTGGAATCAATTTGACTAAGAAATGGATTATCTTATCACGGATTAAACTGCACCAAAAGAATAGAGCTGAACTCACAGCTTATGGTGTTCATCTTTAAATAAATGGTGCTACATTAAAGCATAGGATCATGTACAACCCAGCACAGGATTTTAGCAGTGGTTGCTGCTTCAGACCTGAGGTTGATCTCACTGGGTTTCCCATGAGAAGGCTTAATTGAATAATGATTTTGTGCATGCTGGAGGGAGACTGCTAAAGAAGACTAGAGCAGGAATTTACATGAATCCTGAAAAGGATTCTGGAAGATTTAACAGGTTACTGGAACAATGTCAAAATTGTTTTAGCTCTTTTAAAGTATGCACTTATTTTCTGCATGCTTGTCAATTTTTTTCCAAAGTCAGTAAGGACAAAATAAGTAACTGGTTAAACTCAGGTTATGCAATAACAGATGTAGAAGCAGAAATATGGTATAGTAGGACAATAATACATATAAAATGCTGTGATACTGGAAATCTGAATTAAAACCTGAAAATGCTGGAAGAATTCAGTATGCCTAGCATCATTTGTGGAGAAGGTCAGGAATCATGCAACACCAGGTTGTAGTCCAACAGGTTTATTTGTAAATACAAGCTTTTGGAATCTCACTCCTTCTTCAGGTGTTAGTGAGAGAGGTAGTATCAGACACAGAATTCTTAGGCTCTGAAAGCTTGTGTTTTCAAAAAAGCCTGTTGGACTTTAACCTGGTGTCGTGTGATTTCTGACCTTGTTCACCCCAGTCCTACACCAACATATCCACATCATTTGTGGATAAGAAAAGAGTTAATATTTTGAGTCAGATGTGACTTTTCAGAATACGCAGTGCTCAAATATCTTGAAATGAATTGAAGATGTTGTATCATTAGGAGTGGATGTTTACCGCTGCTGGACAAGCTCCCCAGAAGACTGCAATTTGTGTCACAAAACAATTATTAAACTGTTTAGGTGAGTTGTCCCTGACTACCACTGGCATGTTGGCTTTAGATACCACTGCAGCAGTTTTCTGCAGATCTACAATTCGCTGTCTGTTGACCTGTATCATCAGAAATCAGTTCTCTATGGACACTACAAATACCTTCGCCCAGCTGTTTCCCCATTCTTTGCCCCCATATCTTCTTTTTGACCCACATCATCTCCTCCCTCTTTTCACTCCAATTTGCCACATCCTTCACCCAATCACTTTCCATCTTCCACCTCGTTCACCCCCAATTCACGCACCTGTTGCCCCATCTCCTCCTCCTTTGTTTTCTACCCCCATCTTCTCCACATCTACACCACTGTTCCCACCTCCTTCACCCCATCTCCCCTTAATCAACCCCCATTCACCCCCTTCTTATCCCATCTTCTATCTTTGTCCCCTCATCTCTCTCCTTCAACCCCTAACTCTCCTACTTCCTTCATGAAAACCCTTTCCCCCACATTATTTCAGCTATTGACAGAGTACGAAGAATTTTTGACTGTTGAGGGAGTGCAAAGAAGGTCTACCAGATTGATTCCTGGAATGGTGGGACTGATGTATTGGGAAAAACTGGATCAGTTAGAACCATATTCATTTGCATTTAGGTGAATGAGAGGCGAATCTCATAGAAACTTATAAACTAACAGGGCTGAACAGGGTAGATCTAGAAAGGATGTTTTTGAGGAACAGGGAGTCTAAAACCAGGGGTCATAGTCTAAGCTAAGGGCCTTTTAGGACAAGATGAGAAGAGCTTTCTTTACTCAGAGTTGTGAGCCTGAATTCTCTCTGACAGGCTAAAACATTGAAGATTTTCAAGAAAGATGTAGATATGGTTCTTTGGACTGAAGGGGTCAAAGGATATGTGGAGAAAACTAGATACTGAGTTGGATAAGCAGCCATGATCATGTGGCTGAGCAGACCCAAAGGACCAAAAGGCCTACTCCTGCTCTTACATGTTTCTATGTTTTCCTGCCCCTTCAGCACCCTCATCTCCTTCCAACCTCGGTATTCCCCACCCTTGTTCCCTATTTCCCACTCCCTATTACTCGCTTCCCTGCTTTAATGTTGGAAAGGCAGAGCTTTTCAGAAAAAACTTATCTGTTCACAGGTCTTATTTGGAGTAGCTGTAATGAGTGGATTAGTCCATGCACACTGATAGGGGAAAAGAAACACAAGCATTTAAAAGGGATCTTAAGGCTGCCAGAAATCAATCCCAAGTAATCTTGCTGCCTCAGAGCTTCGGACTCCAATATTTTATCTCATGAGAGGCAGATTGGGATGCTCTGGATTAGAGCTTCAGCTTGTCTCAACAGTGCAGCCTTTGCAAACACTACTCCCTGTGAGGACTTTCAGATCAGAGATTCAGTTCCAGAGTCATTGTAAAAATGAATGGTTCAGTGAGGGAGTTTCACCATTTTTTTTAAACATCAAAACAATCAGTTAAAGATAATAATTTTGAGGGACTGTGTGTGTTTTAAGAGAGAAAAAAATGGAAGTGCTTCATTCAGGTGAAAAGTTACTTTAATTCATAGGTTAGTCAAGTTTATTTTCAGTTGTCAGCCTGTATTAGTTTGGCTTAGTTTCCTGTAAAAACAGAACAAAGATATGGTTACTCCTACCAATCTATATCACCAGTAAGTAAATTTATTTGTTGTAATAAATGGCACAAATGGGATGATTTCAACCTGAAGATGTTGTTGGGCCATTTACCACCCTATTTACATTGGTTCTTTTCAAGTTATCTTAGTACAAGTAGATGGGTGACCAAAATACCCATTTGTTTCAGGTGAGAGACCATAATATAGAGTCAGCTCAAACATTAGACCCAACGCTATTTTCAGGGTTTTGATGTTGCATTTATGTCAGGCTGTGGTCCTTAAAATCAACTCTGGCATTGTTTTCCACCTTACAATGATTAACATCACAGGAGATTGGTAGCAGCCTTATGAATGTGTTATTTTCCTGCTAAGGTTCATTGTTATGTGTCAGTTGGCATGTCTCCATTAAATAACTGACCAAAAAGATTGAAAGATAGTTAAAATCAACTAAATTCAAATATTGGTGTCTGAGTGGCACAAAGCATTAACATTCTTCGAAGTTTCTAATGCCTAGTCTAATCAGGAGCATGTTACAATACGGGCTTACAAACATGTCTTAAATACATTGTTTTCTGTGTCTTATATGGTTCTATCCTTCAAATAGGTCTCAGTACAGACATGCTGGAGAAAATAGGTTAAATGATCAAGTAGCAAAAGGATCCCTTAGTAAGAACCAGAATATATGTCTACTCAGAGATAGTAGGAACTGCAGATGCTGGAGAATCCGAGACAACAAGATGCAGGGCTGGATGAACACAGCAGGCCAAGCAGCATCATAGGAGCTACTCAGTCTTTCTTACTCTATTGTTAAGAAGTTAGCCTTCCACTAGCCATAGGGCAGCCTTTGGGATAGCTCTAAGAATGACCACTGGGACAAGCAAATATACCTGCAGGACAGGCATTAAGTGGATATGTAAGGGTGAATAGTTCAGTTATATATATATATTGTTGAAATGCTTTGGAATGATATTTTTGCTGATGATGTCTATTTCAAGATTTTGGCTGTGAAGATACTGTGATCTTAACATATCAGACATTTGAAAAGTTTACTTTCTGAAGAAGTGTCCTGACCCGAAACATCAACTTTCCTGCTCCTCTGATGCTGCCTGGCCTAATGTGTTCATCCAACTCCACACTGTGTTGATACTTTTAAAAATGTTGTTTTCTATTTGAGATAGAGATGAGGAGGAGTTTCTTGTCTCAGAGTTGTTAGTCTTTACAATTATCTTCCTTGGAGAGCAATCAAAGCGGTGTTACTGAATATATTTAAAACAGAATTTTGATCAACAAAAGCAAGGGGAAGCCAGCAAAGTTCAGTTAACATCATAGTCAGAGAAATCACGATCCTATTAAATAGTGGAATGGGCTTTTGCAGTTAAACCCCTATTTATTATAATTTTAAATAAAGAATTTTCAATTTACACAAATACCTTCCAGATGAAGGCCCACAAACATTCACTAATGGAAAATGTTTTTTCAGGACTACCTGAGAGAACAAGGGCAAGAAAACTGCACAGACTAGCAGGAAATGACTAGTACAATGTTGTCTTACATGAACTGGAGGAGAAAGCCAAAGAAGAGAAAAATAGGGCCCCATGGGGTGCAGAGTACTGTTGAACAGTTGGACAGAAAAATAAACAGAGTAGTAAGAAGATATATTGATTTGTTTTTATTTACACAAACCTGCAATCCTCAAGGAAAATTTAAAGAAAAACTGAATTATTAAACTTAATATCAGAAAACTTTGAAAAAGTCTCAAATAATGTAGGGTCAGCTTGAATTTAAAAAGAATGTTTGAAGGACAGAGAGTTTTTTGTTGGTTATTCACAGTCTGGTGACCAGGTAGATCCCAAAGACAGTGATCCCCAAGGGATCCATTGCTTTTCTTTCTCATACACATGGAGTTGCAACATAGAACTTGGTCATTCAGCCCATTGTGTCTGTACCCGATATAGGGAACAGCAAATCAACTCCTGTCCTGTCTTTTTGCCACAGCCTCAATTTCTCTACTAACCCCATGAAAATGCTCAATCCTCTCTCCCCCACCCCTAACAAAGCTCACCCTCTCTCCCACACCTTTGACATTGCTAACTCTCTCTCCCCTACCTGTCAATGCTCAACCTCTTCCCCAACCACCTCCGTCCTTGCTACCGTCCCTCTTGCACCCTTGAAAATGCTCATGCTTTCTCCTTCACCCCTGAAATTTCTCACCTCCCTCCCACACTCCTGACAATGTTACCCTCTTCTCCCACTATTCCCAACAATTGCTACCCATCTTCTTGCATGACTGACTATGCTCACCCCATTTCCACATACCCGACAACTGTCACTCCCCCACCTCCCTGATAATTGCTCACCCACCATTCCTCAGTCTTGATAGTTCATACTCCTCCGTTCCCCACAATAATCATGCAACTTCACCCACGACATTGTTTACTTTTACCCCTTCCAGCATTGAAACACTCCAGCCCTCCCAATGACAATGGTCACATACCCCTATTGACAATTGCCTCACCCTGACACCATCCCAAGCACCAACACCCCTCCATCAACTTACCACCGTCACCCCATTCCTCCCATGCAGCCCCATTCCCGATACTACCTCCATCCTTCCCACCCATAAATGCTCCACATTCAACCTGAAAGGATGACTCTATATCTTCTTTACACACTTCCTGACTTGCTAAGTGTTTCCAGCCATTCTTAATTATATTACCTATAGTTTCTTTTGTTCACTATCTTCACTCTTCTCAGATAGTTGACTTATGCTGGACTTTCTGCTCTCAAATTGTAATTCATTTGCACCCAGCAGAACATCCTATAAAATAAAACCAAATACAGCTATTTTCAGTGACTGACACAGAAATGCAAATACAATTTTCAGGTGGTACAGTTACAATGCAGTTAAATGTATAAATACTTTAAAATTCAACTGTGCCTCTTCCTTGGGATTTCACTTGGCAGAGATGGGAATTACATTGGACTTTCATAACTTTGATCTAGTCTATCACAACATCAATCGGAAATGACATATTTATTATCAGGCCTCTATGACTGCCCTACTAACTGGCAGAAGTCATATGGTGGTGCAACATTTGATTTTTCTTTTCATATTCATTCTCAGGATGTCAGAGTCACATATATTTAAGAAATGCACCTGTATGCCAATGTTAGTTGCTCTTTTAAAAAATGTTTCTATAGTAAGGCGCTCATCCTTCAAACTCAGCAGTTCTCATAGAAAAATAACCAACACCAACAACTTAGTGGAGTATGAGAAATGAAATAATTCATCTGCAATATTACATGATACAAGATGATAAGATAGGTTTGTATAAAGGAAGCTTTTTGGCCGAAAGGCTCTCAACCTTTTCGCTGACTAAACCTATTTATATTCCCTGGCATATCTGAAAGGGCTTTTCTGATTTATTTTTACTGACCCAGGATTTATTTATGTTACCTCTGCCTGTTGTGTTGAGGAAAAGAATTGCAAATACAGTTGTCAAATAAGTTCCAACATCCAATATCTGTGAATTTAGCTACCTGCCTTCACTCATCATCTTAGTCATTGATGCAAATTATAAAATGTTTTGGCCCCAGCATAGCCCCTGCAGGAGTACATTCATCACATCCTGCCAAGCAGAAAAAGAAATATTTATGCATACTTTATCCCAGTTAGTTAACCTTCAATTCATTACAATATATTCCCCCCTTATCAATGAGGTTTTACTTTCCACAATAACCTTTGATATGGCATATTATCAAAAACCTTCTGAAAATCCAGGTCTAGTGTATCTATATGCTTCCTTCTCCACACAGCATGTTACTCCTTCAAATGACTCCAATAGAATGGTTAAATATGATTTTCCTTTCACAAAATACTGAATTTTCTTGATCATCTTGAGTCTAAGTGAATAGTCAAAGTTTCTTTAATGGTCAATTGTAATGGTCTCCCCATGACAGATATTAAGTTAACTGGGCTGTAGTTTTCTGTTTTCTGCCTACTTGAATGCAAGGGTTATATTTGCTATTTTCCAGTCCAAAACACCTTTCCTGAATCGATGGAATTTAGTAAAATTAACACCAATGCATCTACTAACTCATTAGTAACCTCTTTTAAGACTCTATAATGACGTCCACCTGGACCCAAAGATTTTTCAGCTGCAGCTCCATCAGTTTACATAATACCACTTCCCTCATGATTGTAATTTCACGAAGTTCCTCTTTACCCTTCACTTCCTGATTTACAGCTACTACCAGAATTTATTTTGTATCTGCTAGTGAAGGCAGAAGTAAATATTTGTTCATTTCATCTGCCATTTCCAAATTATCCATTATTAACTCCCTATTCTCACTCACTAGAGGACCAACATATTTATTTTTGTTTCTTTAAAATACTTATACAAATGTCAGTATCCATTTTTAGATTCCTAGCCATCTGCTACTTATATTCTAATTCCTTTCACCTGATTAACACTCAAGTTACTTTCTGCCCTTCTTTATCTTCTGACCAATCATCTACCCTGTCAGTCATCATTGAACAATTATATTCTTTGTCTTAACATTTGATGCATTTCCTAATGTCTTTAGTTTTCCATGGACAGTGGGTACTCTATTTAGAATTTTTCTTCATAGTTGGAATATACTTTCTTGAGTATTCTGAAATATTCCCTTAAATGTCTGTTATATTGTCACCTTGATTTATTCCCAATCTAATATGTGAGTTCACTCTAACTAGCTTAATTTTCAAGACCACATCGTTGTCCTTATTTAGGTTAAAATACTTGTCTTAGACCTAATCTTCTCCCTTTCAACTGGATATAAAATTCAATTTATATTGTGGTCACTGCTACACAGAGGTGCCTTAATTAATGAGGTCATTAAGTAATCTTGTCACATTTTATATAATACCAGGTCTAAAGGAACATGCTCTCTCAGCAGTTCTAATGTGCTGCTCTAAGAAACTATCTCAAAAGCCATATATGAATTTCTCATTTAAACTACTACTGCCAATCTGATTTTTAGAGTTTATATGAAATTTAAAGTCACCCATGACTACTGTCATCGGTTTATCACAAGCCCTTAATATTTCTTTTACATACTTTGTTTCATACTATGATCACTTTAGGGGAACTGAAGGTCATTCCCACTAGTGACTTCTTTCCCCTAATATTCCAAACTGATTTTACATCTTGATCTCGTAAACAAAATTCAAACACAGTGCATCCTGAAACGTCCTCTCAGGGTTCTGAAATATGAGAGAGTAGAAATTGCAGTGGTTCTGATTATAATTTTCCAGTCCTGCTTAGGTACAGGATGAGTGCAAGTTACACTTTTGTTCAAAAATGGGAGAACAGAAAAACCTGGCAGTTTACTATTGATGCTGGGAAAGCTTTTTGGAACAATAATCTGGCAAAAATTAACAACCACTTGGTCAAGTATAGGCTAGTAAAAGAGAGCCAGCATATATTTTTTCAGGGCAAACCATGTTCATAAAACTTGATTACATTATTCATAAGTTCACAGGATATGATGAAGGGCTTCTTTTAATACTGTACAAACACTGTGATACTAGGATGTAGATCACTCAGAGATAGCAAGAACTGCAGATGCTGGAGTCAGAGACAACACAGTGTGGAGCTGGAGAAGCACAGCAGGCCAGGCAGCATCAGAGGAGCAGGTAGGTTGACATTTCGGGATGGGATCCTTCTTTGTATTTGGGCAGTGCACTGACAGGACAAAGGGATAGCCCATTGAGCTAGTTCTAGCATTCTATGAGATCATGGGTGATGTGTGGCCTAATTTCATATACCACCTTTGAATTATATCCCTCCATAACTTTGGACAACAAACATCAATAAGGTCACAATTAAACATTGAAATTGAGCTAGCATCAATTCCCATTTGCAGAGGAGAGTTCTAAGCTTTCCCCGTCCTTTGTATTGAATAGTGTTTCTTAATTCTTCCCCTAAAAGGTCTGGCTGTCATGTTTAAACTATACCCGCAGCCCCGGGCAGAGGAAATAATGTTTATCTACCTTCTTTATCTGTTCCCCTTAATCTTTTGAGAACTTCAATCAAAACACTCCTTAACCTTCTAATTCCAGGCATACAATCTGATATCATGTCATCTCTTCATGTAACTTAACTCTTGAAAAATGCAGTGAGATTAGCGGTGACCCATGAACACAAGAGCAGATGCCAGAATTCAAGAATGGCACTGATTGGCTGCAAAGCACTGTGATGGGAAAGGATAAACAGCCAGCATTTCTACTTAATGTAACCATGTCAACAACAGAGGTAGCAAAATAAAATCTCAGGCAGATATGTGGCAACTTGGAAGGAGGCGAACGAAAGAACCAATCTCCAAATTACTTTCTGTGCCACAAATTAGTGAATGTACAACAATAAAGCAGATGAATGTATGGCTGCAGAGATAATGTGGGAGGGAGACATTTAGTTTCCTTGGATACTGGGACCAGGTTTGAGGGAGCTCAGACCAGTACAGGTCAGTTGAATTGTACTTCAATGGGGCTAGGAACAACGTACTTCCTTTTTTTACTTTTTTTAATTTCATTAACAGGTTGAGGGCGTCGCTGGCTAGGCAGCATTTATTACCCATCCCTAATTGCCCAGAGGGTAGTTAAGAACCAACCACATTGCTGTGGGTCTGGAGTCACATGTAGGCCAGACCAGGTAAGGATGGCAGTTTCCTTCCCTAAAGGACATTAGTGAACCAGATGGGTTTTTCCGACAATCGACACATGGCCTTCATTAGATTCTTAATTCCAGATATTTTATTGAATTCAAATTCCATCATCTGCCGTGGCAGGATTCAAACCCGGGTCCCCAGAATATTATCTGGATCTCTGGATTAACGGTCTAGCGATAGTACCACTAGGCCATCCCCTCCCCACCCCACACTCCCTATACCTGCTGGGTACTTTGCCTGTGATATTGCAGAGACTATGAACCGACTAGGCAGGGGCGATGTTACATCAGACAAGAAAAAAAACAGGTGAACAAAGAATTGGGAGAGGCCAGAATAGACAACAGTAACGTATTAGGTGAAGTCGAAGGGAGACAGGATGCAATATGGTTTAAATGATGAAGGGCTTCTTTTAATACTGTACAAACAAGTATATCAATAGATGGTGCATAAGATTGCCAAGCTCCAGACACTGAAAGTCACAAGGAAACATATTGTTATAAAAACAAGAGAGCTGGATCAAAGAAGGCAGGGCTTGGAAACAAATGGGAGAATAAAGTGAGGAGGGTGGCTGTCTTGACTGGGGAGAATATTACAGTGCCAGAGATATAGGATATCCAAAAGGATCAATTACAGATTTACTTGATTAGAGCTAATAAACAATTGAGGAAACATTACATCACTGTGCAAGTGTTTCCAACTCGTAAGAAATAGATAGAGAAACACATTTTCAAGGAAATTACAGAGAAGTGCAAAACAATGGAGTAGTCGTGATATAGGACTTCAATAACCTGAGTATTCACTGGAACAGTAATTATGTAAAGGTCAGAGAGAGATGATTTTCTGAAGCAAGTAATTCAATTTGGGAAGAAGAACTAAAAGAGACAATGGAAATTAAATTGTACAATCCTAAAGATGGTGGGGTAACCAACACAGTTAGGCAAATATGGATGCAAATCATTTAAGGTGGTATAAAATATGGTTAAAAAAAAGCATATGTCATTCCATTTTATGAATTGTGCCTAGAGTGTAAAGGCAAAGAAGTTATGGTGAGCCATTATAAGACAAATAATTCGGCCTCAACTCGTTGTGCTCATGCAATCAAGGAACTGAAGACACTGGAGACACTTCAAAAACATTACAAGATTGGTTCCAGGAAATAAGGTACTTCAGTTATATGAGTAGGTTAGATAAACTGGGGCTATAGTAATTAGAAAGCTGAGAAAGAGATTTGATTAAATGTTCAAAATCATGAATCTGGACAAAAATGGATTGAGAGATTCTTTTCTCAATGTGAGAATGCAGGAATTCTTTGAAGACACTACAAGCGTGGTGGACAATGGGAGACCCAGTAGATGTGGTGTATCTGGATTTCCAAAAGGAATCTGACAAGGTGCTGCACAAAAGGCTGCTGCATCAGATAAAAGTGCACGGTTTTACAGGCAACGTACTGGCATGAATCAATGATTGGCCAACTAACAGGAAGCAAAGAATGGGGATAAATGGGTGTTTTTCTGATTGGCAATCAGTGACTAGTGGTGTGCCTCAATGATCAGTGCTGGGACCACAATCGTTTATAATTTACATAGATGATTTGGAGTTGGGGACCACGTGTAGTGTGTCAAAGTTTGTGGATGACACTAAGATGAGTGGTAGAGCAAAGTTTGCAGAGGGATATAGATAGTTTAAGTGAATAGGTGAAGGTATGGCAGATGGAGTACAATGTTGATAAATGTGAAGTCATCCATTTTGGTAGGAACAACAGTAAAAAGGACTATTACTTGAACGGTAAAAAATTGCAGCATGCTGCTGTGCAGAGGGACCTGAGTGTCCTTGTGCATGAATCACAGAAGGCTGGCTTGCAGGTGCAACAGGTAATTATGAAGGCAAATGGAATTTTGTCCTTCATTGCTAGAAGGATTGAATTTAAAAGCAGGGAGGTTATGTTACAGCTGTATAGGGTGCTGGTGAGGCCACACCTGGAGTACTGCATGTAGTTTCGGTCTCCTTACTTGAGAAAGGATGTACTGGCACTGAAGGGGGTGCAGAGGAGATTCACTAGGTTGATTCCAGAGTTAAGTAGGTTGGCTTATGAGGAGGGGCTGAATAGAGTGGGATTATATTCATTGGAATTTAGAAGAATGAGTGGGGATCGTGTGGAAACATATACAATTATGAAGGGAATGGATAAGACAGAAGCAGGGAGGTTGTTTCCACTGGCGAGTGAAACTAGAACAAGGCATAGCCTCAAAATTAGGGGGACCCAATTTAGGACTGAATTGAGGTGGAATTTCTCCACCGACAGGTTTATGGATCTGTGGAATTCCCTGCCCAGTGAAGTAGTTGAGACGTCCTCATTTCGAATGTTTTTAAAGCTAAGATAGATAATTTTTTTGCATACTAACAGAATTAAGGGTTATGGTGAAAGGGTGGGTACGTGGAACTGAGGCCATGAAAAGATCAGCCATGATCTTATTGAATGGCGGAGCGGCCTCGAAGGGCCAGATGGCCCACTCCTGCTCCTGGTTCTTATGGTCTTAAGAAACAGAAGTGAATGGCAAAAGAACGAATGTTGGCATGAGAAACGACATTTTATGTAGAATGTGGTTATGATCTGCCATAACTAACTGAACAGGCTAAGTCAACTGTAACTTTCAAAAGGGAGTTGTATACACATGGGCTGCCAGGGAAAGGGTGAAGTAAAGGGATTAGCAGAATTGCGCTTGGAAAGAACTGACATAAGCATTGTGCACCAAATACCCTCCTTCAGTGCTAATAATTCTGTGAGCCGACTCCATAGCTATAAGGTGATTGGTGAAAGAAACGAGAGACGTGTGGGAAAGCTTTTTTTGTGGAATTTGTGTCCAGATTTGGAACGCACAGACTGATGAGGTGATGGAAATAGATTTAATGGTAAGTTTTGAAAAGAGATTGGAAAACATACTTGAATTTTTTTGTAAAAACTGGGTTGTGCACCTAATTGACTGCTTTTTCAGAGAGTGCAGACTCAATGACTGAATGTAGAAGCAAATTATTGCAGATGCTGGAATCTGTAGCAAAAGCTGGAGATCACAGCGGGTCAAAGAACAAAGAACAAAGAAAATTACAGCACAGGAACAGGCCCTTCGGCCCTCCAAACCTGCGCCGATCCAGATACTCTATCTAAACCTGTCGCCTATTTTCCAAGGATCTGTATCCCTCTGCTCCCTGCCCATTCATGTATAAAGAACAAAGAAAATTACAGCACAGGGTCAGACAGCATCTATGGAGTCTAGATAACTCTTCGTCAGCTCTGATGAAAAGTCATCTTCACTTGAAACATTAGCTTGCTGTCTCTCCATGGATGCTGTCCAACTCACTATGATTTCCAGCATTTATTACTCAATGACTGAATGGTCATCTTCTGTGCTCCATTTTAGTTTACCATTCTAGCTTATATAATTCTGACAAATCACCTGCACTGAGCTCTCTGATGTTATGCTCTTTTTGACACTTCTATATTTCCTCATTAGTTTTCTTTCCGAGGTTGGCAGGATGCTCTCATCGGCAACACTATGTCGGAAGTTCAAAAAGTCCGGCCATAATTTGAAGAGAAGGTCAAATACTGTCAGCTGTGAAGGGAAATCCTGTTACTTTTGAAACAATATAATACCAGTTATGTTATTGATAGTTATTGACTCATACACCTGTATCAAATGCTAGGTTCTAAAATTAACTGTTTCAAATATATGCATCCAGACATTCCAATTAATATTAAATGGTATCATTAGGACATAAGAGTGTTAGCAATCAGAATAACAAAAAGTTAATGTCTTCTTGAGCTTCTTCAATTGAATTGACTGAATTTTTACATCAAATGCAGTTTCTCACCTTGCTCCCAAAACTGTTTATTCCCTTAATATTCAAAAATCTATCAATCTCAGCCTGAATTTACATAATGATTTAGCAGAAAGAGTCTACTTGAATAGAGATTTCCAAAGATCCATAACTTTTTGAGTAAATAAATTTCACCTCATCTCACTCCTAAATGGCTGATAATTATTATGAGATTAGTACCTAGTTCTGAACTCATCAGCCAGGAGCAAAAAACAACTTCTCTGTTCCTACTCTATCAAGATTTTGATTTTTTTTACATTTCAGTCATATCACCTCTCATTCTTTAATCTTCAGAGAATGTATTATGCAATTTCTCCAATTTGTTCTATCCCTAAGGTATGTTTATCTGTCCTTAGGTAATCAATCTCCAACTGTGCACAATATTCCAGGTGTGGTCTCATTATAGACTTACACAATTGTAGCAAGATGACCTTACTGTGCCCAACCCCCTTCCTCCCCTCCCACAGCAATAAAGGCTAGCATACTATTAGCCCTTCTAATTGCTTGCTACACCTCTATGATTTATATAAAAGGAACCAAAATCGCTCTGAATCCCATCATTTGCTTCCATCTCAATATTAATCTTTTCCATTTATCCTGCCAAAGCAGATAATTTCATGGTCCCTCATATTATATCCATCTTGCCCAGTCCCTATTCTTTGCCAGCCTTTGCATGTCTTGCTCACAATTTACTTTCCATATAGCTTTCTAAACTCAAAACACGTAGAGATATCATACTTCATTGATTGAGTACTAATTCATCAGCTGAGGGGGAACAGTGTGTGGTAATCAGCCAGAGGTTGCCTTGCCCATGTTTGACCTGACGTCATGAGGTCCTCAGTCATTGTTGAGGACTCCCAGGGCAACCCCCTCCTGACTGTATACCAGTATCACCTCTGCTAGATCTGTCCTGTCTGTGGGAAAAGACAAATCTGGGGAAGTGATGGTGGTTTCTGGGACATAGTCACAGAAACATACCTTACAAACAATCACAGGCTGTCACTTGACTAGTCTGTGAAACAGATCTCACAGATGTTAGTAAAGAGGACTTTGCAGAATCGACAGGGCTGTTTTTGTTGTTTTCGTTTTCGGTGCCCAAGTCAATACCAGATTGTCTGTCTGGTTTCATTTCTTTGTTTATGCTTCGTACTGATTGATTTTCAGAGGGCAGTTGAGTGTCAACCACATTACTGTGTGTCTGGAGTCACATGTTGGGCAAACCAGGTGAGTATGGCTGATTTACTTCACTGAAGTAAATTGGTAATGGGTTCATGATTGTCATTAATTTTTAATTCCAGTTACTTTTTTATTGAATTCAAATTCCACCATTTGCTGTGGCAGGATTCAAACCCATGTCCCCAAAACATTAGCTGAATTTCTGAATTACCAGTCTAGTGATATCACAGTAGACCATTGCCTTCCCTTGGTCGAGTCAGGAGGATATTCAGAAGAAGGGTTATTTAGGTTAGGTCATGGGGTTTGTCGAGTGGAGGGTAGTCAAGCATAGGATTGGGTCATAAGAGTAATCATGTGGGGATTAGTTGGTGGGTCGTGGGGGTGGTCACGTGGGGTTTTAGTCATATCAGGGTCTAGTTGTTTGGAGGGAAGTCTGATCAAGTCACAGAGATAGTCAGTCAGTGATTATGGGAATCACCAGCAACGCTTGCTCAGATACCCTGGATAATCGCTGAATAAAACCAGGTGTTACCAAGTGCAGTACATCTTGGGTAAGTGTGCAGGTAAATGCCAAGAATCTGGCTCAAGTCTCTCACACAGAGCTCATTGTCAGAGACTTTCACAAAGGATCCCGAGCAGTGGAATTGGGATAATTAGAAGGTTAAAATTTGTGGGCAATTTCAGTGCACATGCATGTAACAGGTCTTCAGTGGGGTCCCAACACACACAGTGCAATCTCTGGTAAGATGGATACTGGATGATTTGGGTCTATGTTTGAATAATTAAGTTCTCTATTACTATTTTAATTCATGCACTTCTCTGAAATGTTTATGTAAATTTGTTCCTCTAAATTGTTTCTATCAGCTGTTAGCCTGTAGAATACTCCAAGCAATATAAAGCTACCTTTACTGCATCTTATCTTTAGCAAGACAGATTATGTTCTTGACTCCTTTGAATCATTCTTTCTCTTTCCAGCACAGTGGGACACTCTTCAATGCCACCCACTCCTTTCTTTACTTCTCCATCTTTCCTGAACACTCTTGTATCCAGTACTGCCTTTCTTCAAGTCAGGTAACTTTATTGCCACAACTTCATATTTCCCCATGGTTACTTGCAGCTCAACAATCGTATTTACCACTTAATGCCACTAAGCCATTTTATGAAGGTCTGTCACAGACTTTTCTTCACACACCTGTGCTTCTCTGAAGATATACGGTCCCTGATCTTGTCTGTAATTCATGATACTTCTTGCACATTCTGATGAAATATTGATCTGTATAGGTGGAGGAATGCTGGAATTGATGAAACAATTAATGATGGAGGTGATCTTATTTCGAATAGTCTCCTCACTAGCCTGAGAATGGTACATGTCCTGTTGGAAAAAAACCACAGAAATAGGGTCTGTATCCTTTATAGTGTGGTTTAGGCTACATAAACAATATTCAGTCAGATTAAATAAAAATGCATTCATAAATTTGAAAGTACACATTCTCAGACACTTGTGGGCTACTTACCACTGACATTGTGTCATTTTATGCGATCAAAGCTTCTGATTCATTTGGAAGTAGCTTTTTGCATTTTGAATTACTTTTTCAAAAGATCAGATTCTGTATTTTCTTTACCTTGTACTTTTGAACCTCAAGCCAGAAGATGACATTATTCTGCATAAATTCACCCTTCAGGGACACAAACTGTTGAAACTGAAGGGCTGTAACTGGATTTAACAAGGTTTTACGGAATGCGATGATTTCGTTTGATGAGGAAAGCCATTTGTTCCACTGGAGCTGTTGGGAAAATAATTTTTCAGATTAATTTATATCAGCTGAATTTTCACAAAGAATTAGAAGCCAAATGACATGTCAAAAACTTTGGGCTGCTGGTGTTCCAAGCTTCCTTGCCAAGGCTGAATAAAGCCTTGGAAACATTTGTCGAATGGTTGTTTTGTCAAAAAAAAAGCTGAGATTGTAGGTAAGAGAAGCAAAGTTTCAACATCCAAATTTCATCATCAATAAAAACTGTGTGATAGACAACAAACAGGACAATATGGAAGTTTTAGAACTTGATTCCCATCTCAATCTATCAACATAGGTTACATCTTTGATAAGGCCAATTACAGATACATATTATCCAATGCATGTCCATTGAAAGTCATGCAAAAACATCCAAGCCCTTCATGCTTCCTGTTCATGATAGTGGTATGCAACCCAGGGCTAAATGCTCTGTTGCATATTTGGCTTTGGTACAAGGCTAGCACCAAGTAAAACTAGCATACACTTCTGAAAGTGTTTATGCGCCTTTTAAAGGGCAGTGACATTCTGGCACCATAGACTCATTCAACTGGCAGGAAGTACCTATGATTAATGGCACTAGAGGCCAGTGGGAAGATTCTCAGGCTTTTGGGTGGAGTAATAGAGGTCTTAGTACTGGAAAATGAAACGAGGAGCAAGATCCTGTTTACTTAGTGGGCCAAGATGCCTCCAGATGAAAACAATAATCCTTACCTTCTTCTTACCCTTTTGTAACATCTGGTCCTCCACTACATCGTGCATTTGTACCTGGAGGTTAGACACAAATAAATTAGAAATTTGGGATCAAATTATAAACAGAGATTCTACAGCAATCAATTATATTCCTTCAGCCCATTCAACACTACTCCATTTTGCACTTTTTTTCTAGAGATTTCAAACATATGAAAGTGAATGGGATACACTCTTGCGATGTTTTGGAGAAAGAACAGGTGAATAAGACTTAGTAGATAGCTTCTTCACAGGCTTTTTTTCCATCATTTATGGATTGTAGGCTGAATTGTCCTTGAGGAGGGAGTGGGGAGCGATCTTCTGGATCACTGCAATCCATGTGGTGAGAGAGTACATCCATAGTCCTGTACAGAAGGGAGTTCCAGGATTTTAAGTCAGTACAGGGATATATTTCAAAAATAGGATGGGTGAATCCGTTGGTAACCTGCAGGTGGCTGTGGTCATCAGACTGAAGAGGACATAGATTGTAAAAGCCAGCTATGTTTATGGGGAAAATCAATAAGTTAGCCAAAGAACAGCGTACCCCTTTGGAATCAATGGACGAATCTATAAATAATGTAACTTGGAATGCAGCACAGCTTGGTAGACAAATAGTTATGTAAGATTCAAATCTGATATTAGATGCTGAGATGACTGTTTAAGAACATGGGGTCACGCATTAAGACAGAGATGAGAAAATTTTTCCTCTAATATTTCCTGCTGCTGCACAGACCTCAGAGGTTAGTGTGTGGCAGTGAGGTTTGGAAGTCAGTGCAAACACACGTCGTAATCTTCAGAACTCTCTTCCTCAAAAGGCAACGGAAGCAGAACCTTTGAATATCTTTACGGTAGCAGTAAATAGATTCATGACAAGCAGGGAGTAAAAGGTTATCATGCGTAGGCAGGAATGTGAAGCAATCTTTTCAGCATGATCTTATTGAATGCCAGAGCTGTTTTTTTTGGGGCCAGTTGGCCTATTCTTGCTTCTAATTCATACGTTCATGTGCTCGTGAAGTGGCCGTTGCAGTGATGGCTTTGCCTTTGTCATTTTCAGTGCCAAGGTCAATGCTGGATAGTCCGTCTGAATTTATTCCTTCTTAGTCTTCATAGCAGTTATATGCAACTGAATGGCTTGCTGGGCCGTTCATAGGGTATTTAAGAGTCCACCACATTCCTGTTGGTTTACCATCAAATATTAGCAGACAGGTAAGGTCTCCTTCCCTATCTGAACTGGATTGGCTATATAAATACCGTGGTTACAACAGCATAGATCATAGAATCCCTACAGTGTGGAAACAGGCCCTTTGGCCCAACAAGTCCACACTGACCCTCACAGCATCCCACCCAGACCCATCCCCCTATAACCCACCTAATCTACACATCCCTGAACACCATATGGGCAATTTAGCATGGCCAATCCACCTAGCCTGCAAATCTTTGGACTGTGGGAGGAAACCGGAGCACCCGAAGGGAACCCACGTAGACACGGGGAGAACGTGCAAACTCCACACAGACAGTCGACCGAGGCTGGAATCGAACCTGGGTTCCTAGCACTGTGAGGCAGCAGTACTAACCACTGTGCCACCGTGTCGCAGGTCAGAGGCTGGGAATTCTATGGTGACTTCCTAAAGCCTGACCACTATGAAGGAAAGTTCATGTTTAATATTGAGCTTGAGTTCAGTTATGATCAAGTAACCAAAGCATTTTCATCAATTAAGGTAATATTATGTCATTGTATAATTGTAATCAACGTCAGACATATATGCACCACATGATTGACTCCAGGGATGGAATTTTTCTCTTCCTGGTATTGGGGTGAGTTAGCGGGTAAAGATGGGAAAATACACAGTGAATGAAAAATCTGATTCTTGACATTGAGAAACATTTTCCCAATTTTCCCCTCAATGATGTCTTCAGAGCTTTGCCCTTGAGCGGTGACTCCTTGATTTCCATGCATTTGCATCTCCTTAAAGACCCAATTCATCTTATTTATATGCCACTTCTAACCTCTCTTCCCTTTCACCATGTAACTAGGATCCTCACTGTATAGATAAAGGGTGTCAACCTTTGTGACTTGTCTTTCTTATTAGGTCAATGGGAATGACAGGCAGTTTGTGTCACTGGGGGGCACTGAACACTCTCTGTAATCAGTCACATCAGTCACATGGGAGTCTACATGTTGCTGTGTGGCATCATGCTACATCAAAGCTAGAGCTGTAGGCTGTAATAGCAGCTTAAGTGGCAAACCCTCTGCATACGTTTCAAGCAAATAGCTGTGTCTGAAAGCCTAAAGGGAAGCAGGCCTTAGTGGGTGAAGGGAAATTACAGTCAGTTAGGGGTATTACCACAGTCAGACAAGTGGTTCGTCCTTTTCCAGTTTAGGGGGTTGGCCATGGTCAGTCAGGTGCTTGCTCTGCCCACAATCTGCTACTTGTGTTCTTACAGTCCTGGAATTAGATCAAGCGCAAGCATTCTAGGGCTTATAGGTCAGTCAGTTGAGGTGCTGTTGGGATATCAATTTGAGGGAATTGGGACGTTGTCAGTTGGCACTATCCTGCCAGATGGTTTGGAGGGTAGGTCACAGTGTCCTAAGTAAAGTGCACAACTGGAGATAAGCTTCATTGCACTGGGCAGCTGAGGGAATATGGCAGTGAGAGTGAGCAAGTGGAGATTATCAGGTGAGACTTCATAGCGATTAGGAGGGGACTGACAGCTGCAGTAGGGGACGGGAAAGAGTTTTCAAACAGGTCACAGTAACTCTGGACTCTACCTGAGGACGGTGTAGCGCAACAAAAACATAAAAATGTCTAAATTCATATGCTCTGGGGATAAAGCAGGGACATAAATAGTTAAGGGGTACAGAGAAAAGAGGGGGAGGCTGTACTGTCATAGAAGCCACAGGAACAGGAAAACAAAAAGGGAACGAGAAGTGTGTATTGGTGTATGTGGTGCATCACAGGTGCAGTCTGCATGTCACCCACACTGAAACGAAGTTCAATCTTGCCAATTTGGATCGAAAGTCAACAATGTAATAACTTTACAAAATGAAATGGTTGATATGGCATGCAAAGTGGGCGAACTAAGTTACTGTTTTTTCCCTTGGTTTGTGTAAAACTCTTGGATTTCAACACTATTTTGTGGGCGGATGCTGCAAATATACCTCCATTGATTAAGTAATGTCATCAATCTGGCTTCAAGTTGCAATTCATCAACAAATCATTCACTAAGCTACAGCTAAACTATTACTCAGAATTAAATACTCAAGTCAAGACAATGCAGTTCTGCAGAGATATTATGGGTTTGGGGAAAAAAAGCCAAAGAAGGAACAACATGCCTGTGGGTGAAAAGTATGAATTCAGACAATAGAATAGGTTGACTTCTCAAGGAAGACCTTCAAACCAGATTTCAGATTCAGACAATTAGGAACCTGATGTTCGCAACTTCCTCAGGTTTCACCAATACCTTACTGAAAGATCCTTCAGCAGATTTTACTTTTTCTCTTACCAACTGAGAGATATATGGAGCCCTGCTTTCCCTGCAAGCTGCTCCAATTGTTTATATTCAGGTTTGTGAAAACACAAAGCAACTTCAGTCCAGAGGTTGTTGCAAGGCAAGATGCAGCACAGATCCTAGGATTTATTAGATCTGTTTGTCCAGCAATGAAAGGCATGAAATGTATCTTTTATCTCCTTTAGAAGCTTTATTGAATTCTTTCTCTCTATATTATTTGTTTTTCCAGTAAACTTCAGATAATTCACAATTCTTCTTATCTTTCAACATTTGTTTGTTTCAATCAAGTCATAAAGACTCTTTAATCCAGAAAAATCTGAATTAGCACAGTCCATAAATATTTAATGTATTCTTAACACATTAAAATGGCTTTGTCTTTCTGACATTTCTGAAATAAAAATCTGTGAGCACTTCCAATATTGTCACTGTGTCCTGGGTTGATGGTAACTATAAAGGTTCACAATCTGTTATCCAGGAAGATTCCCATGAGCTGCTGTGACACATTCATCCTACACTAGTCAAATCTTGTAATATTCACAACCTGAGACAGAGTTGTGGATGGTAACACCACTGGAGAGACCAAATCCAGGAACGGCACAAGTAACCATATGAGCACTAGAGTTGTAAATATGTAGGAAGCAGTTGAGATCCTGAAGACACAATTCACATTTCGAGACAAATCTGGGGATAACCTTCAATATGAACCTGCCAGGTGTCCTAAATGATAGTGGTTTGCTGTGCCTTATATGATGTTGAGTCCTTGCAGGGATGGAACTCCAGGAGAAGGAAGGTGATACCTACCCTGCTGCTATGAAGGAACATGATGTGGTGATGGCACCAGTAACAACACACTTAGCTGCCATGAATGGCACATCCTGTTTCAAGTCATAGAGTTGCAAAGTTGTTTTATGATCTCCAGAGAGACTGATAATTTTAATGAAAAATTGTCTAATTAACAGTAATAAAATTGACATGTCAGGACAAGACTGGAAAAGCTTTTCAGGATAGTGTCCCAGACCCAAGTATCCTTAGGTGTTTTATCAATCATGTTCCCTCCATCATAAGGTCATAGGTCAGGACGTTCACTGATGATTGCACAACATTTAGCGCCGTTTGTAACTCGTCAGTTACTGAAGCATTCCAAGTCCCTAAGCAGCAAGACCTTGAATACATTGAAGTTTAGGCTGATAAGTGGCAAGTAACACTTACACCACACAATGACCATCTCCAACAAGAGTCAATCCAATTAACATTCCTGACATTCAATAGCAGGGTGGGGGGGTGGCGATGGCCTAGTGGTATTATTGTTGGATTGTTAATCCAGAGACCCAGACAATGTTCTGGGGATCTGGGTTTGAATCCCACTACAGCAGATAGTTGAATTTGAATTCAATACATATCTGGAATTAAGAATCTAATGATGACACAAATCCATTGTCAATTGTCAGAAAAACCCATCTAATTCACTAACGTACTTTAGGGAAGGAAACTGCCATACTCACCTGGTCTGGCCTACATGTGACTCCAGA